AAGTCATCTTGCATACTCTTCGCCCTCCTATGCAACATCGTTCCGCAAAAATATGGCTGAGTTCTGGCCAAGTAAATATGCTCTCAATCCAGACAGTACTTGATTCACCATCTTCGTAGTCAACACTATTATGAAAATGTGTAATTCGACCATTCCACCGAATCAATAGGTAAAATTTTCGAAATTTTCTACCCATTTATGTAGTTTATAGAAGCAGCTCATTACATACAGTTCAAACAATACTAAATTAATCTAAAATTCTAATATGCTCATTCAAACAAACATAAGCAGAACTTACCTCCAAAAAATTTTCTTTGCTCAACTATGGTGCTCCAGCTGCTGCAGTTTGTGTTTGGAAGAAAGAAGATAGAAAGTATAAGAGCTGTCAGAATGTGCTAAGTGCTTGCTTTTTATCCTCGTAAACTGATGCAGTGGTTTGAGGCTAAAAAACTCGAACTCAAGTAGTTCGAGTCCAGAAAACTCGATCTAGTGCAACCAATAATTTTACCCCTGCACCCTATTTTGGAGCATGTCAGGCCAAAAGCGACTGGACAGAATGATTGAGCGGTGGTTCGAGTCCAGGGTACTCGAACTACACTAATTCGAGTCCTTAGAACTCGATCTAGTACAACAAAGAATCTTATCCCTGTAACCCTATCCTGAAGCATGTCGGGGGAAAGCGACTTTGTATAATTGACCAGTGGTTCGAGGCCATAGGAATCAATTTAGGCTGTTCGAGTTGTAAGGCATCGATCTAGTGCAAATATCGATCGAGGCTTCTAAAGTCGTTTTACTAGATCGAGTTGTTTGATCTAGCTTGATCGAGTTGTGAAAAATCGATCTACGTTGATCGAGTCTTTTGTCATCGATCTATTGTTGATCGAGTTTTAAGAACTCGATTTGGGGTAAGTTCGAGTTCTTCATCGTCGAACTGGCATGTTGATCGAGTTTATGGGACTCGAACCCCTTGAAACTTGGGTAGTTTGGGAAAATTTTATAAATCTTATGTATTCTGGAAATTATGTTTAATTATTACTGTATTCTGGGAATTAACCCACAAGACCCAAAGCATAGTTCGAACAATTGGACCGCCCAACAGAACTTGAAGCAAACTTCTCAAAGTTTGTATATTTCATTATTACTAGACAAATTTGTAAATATCTGTAATTTTTTATAATTTTTGCCAATACCTCATAGTTGGAGAACAAATAGAATTCATCATACTCTGATTTTCCATGCAAATTGGTATTATATATGCAAAAGAATCATACATTTCATGTGAAAAAAAAGAAGTTGAATTTCATGAGTACATTGGATATCACAATATATACATGGGCTTGCTATATTGATAACTTCAAATTTGCAATGATTGTTGGTCATACAAAATAATCAACTTATATGATGATAGATTTCTTTGCTCGCGCTCTGCGTCGGGATGGTTGGAGAAATTAGGTCATTTTTATGGTTTTTAGTTATATTCTAATCAAGTATCAAAATTGGCTCATTCATTTTCCAACTGCAATGTATAGTTGATTGTCTACGATTCGTTACGACAATCATTGTGAGCACGTATGTCATTGACAAAGAAGAAAAGTATTAAGTTTAAAAGAAATATATTTATCTAAGCGATCTCCCGATTTTAGGTCATAACATGATATCAAATGATATCATTTGCCGTAACTGATAGTCCTAAGAGAGGGAAAGTGTACTATCAAACAAAGATGATCGGCGACTTGTCCAGTGGCCTTAAAAAATGTAATTATACTTACCCATATGCATTATTAATATACAAATTGTACAAACAATAAGCATATATTGAAAGGGTACTTGAAAATGCAAGGATACTTATCACGTATAATTCTTATATAGTTTGGCAAGGTAAGGCATCCCATAGCAATAATTTTGTTGAATTACTAGATTCACTTGCTAATACTCCAGGCATTGCTCCAACCATCTTGTTCATCTCCCCATAATGTCAATTCCCTCAAGTTCTTCTTATTCCAATATGATTAGTGCAGTCATCACAAAAAAAAGACAAAGACATCACGAATTGACCTAACAAGATATCATATCATGCTCTTCAGAGGCACACATCCACTCTTTATAGGTTAAGTTCTTCTCTCCTCTCATACAATAACTTAGCGGACTCGATCATTAAACTCTTTTAACCCATCCACAACCAATATGTGTTTGAACTTTAAATTTCCCTCGAGCACTATAAATGGAACTATGGCACTCCTACCTAATTTATTTTACTATATATTTACTCATGTTAGCGTACTGAACGGCTAAATGTTGTCCTATTTTACTATTGTTGTCCTTACTTAAAAGTGGAAATTACTTCACAAACAAAACAAAATCACTTCTCCCTCCTCTATGCTGCCAAAATCCGTCGCCTGCATCAACCGAATCGGCTGTCGACAACCTCCTCCAAGGACACTATCCAATATAATCCCGACTCCTCTGTCTAGCCACTGTCGTTCTACTCCAGCACAGCACTCGCTACCGCGGTCTCTACTCCAGTCGTCATTCTTACCCGGCATAGCCTCTTCCCCATTCGTCCTTCTCGTCGGCGGTTTCAGCTTATATTTCCACTTGGTTCTTCTATATGAATACAATTTAATAGTCAAACCTTTTCGTTTCAAACAAAATAATAGCCAAATTTTTTCGGAACAATTTATTAGTCAAATCGTCAACTTTTCGTCTGGTCAATTGTTAGTTGACTCTACTTGGTAAGTAACTGTACACGTCAGCTCATTTTTGCTAATGTGGCAACTAATAAAAATTAGAGATTAGTTTTACTTTTAAAATTAAATAAAAAGGTAAAACGTAACAACCTTATCCATTCGTCCTATTTCTCTCTAACTCTCTCTTCATTCTAACCACTCGTTCGACTCCCTCACAACTCAACCCCTCCCCAACGAAACTCTCCCCACTGCCATGCGTAGTCGTCCGCTCCTAGTCATTGAGTCTCGCTGTAGTAGCCATCAGCCCCAGCTTCTCCTTGTGGCTTCAATATTTCTCTTCTCCTCCTTCCCCAAATTCCCACCCAATTCAAGCTTCCTCCTCTTTCGTTTCGGCAACAGAGATGGCTCCAACGTCATCTTCTTCCTCCAAATTGAACCCTACCCATCAGTCTTTCAAGACTCCACGATCCAAACAGCATCTCAATTTCACCCCCGGGCCGAACTACGAATCATCAACCCTCACCAAACCCTAATCATGGCGTCAAATAAGTCTAGCCGATCGACCACCCGATCAAGGTCATCAGATGCATAAGAGATTTCCACAACCGAAAGGAGAAACTAGCTTCAGCCCCGAAGGCGAGACAGTCAGATTCTGGGCGAATCGGCTACAGGGACTTCGACCTCGACGAGGTTTCTCTGTCCGAGCAAGAGGACCTTGATTCGCTGGCGTTCAAGACACCGAGCAACTTGGCCGTGATGTTGGTAGGACGGCAAGCTGCGGTGGTCGAAGTTCAGGTGATGTTAGAGGTTTCGAAGTTTCTAGGGTGGAGAAGAGCAATAGAGTTATTCTGCTAATTGCATAAGTTGTTAGTATATACTAAGTAATATTCAAAATGTATGAACTAGTATCCAAGTATGTTGATTTTATGAAATAGTACTAAAGTATCTAGATAGCACAAACTAATATTCAAAACATCTCAAAACTAGTATCCAACTAACATAATTAGTATTCAGTCAATCAATTACCAACTAATATCCACAACCAAACCAACTAGTATTCAATATGAATACTCTTATGTGTTATCTGGATACTAATTATGTGCTATATGGATACTATTCTGTGTTGTCTAGATATTAGTTTGTGAATTTGGGATAATAGTTGATTTATGGTAGATATCAGTTAGCAAACCTTGAATACTAGTATGTGCTCTCTAGATACTTTAGTACTTGGATACTAGTTCATGTATTTTGGATATCAGTTAGTATCTGCTAACGAATCTTCAAGTTAGCAGATTAACTTTTTCGGGAGAAGAGGGAGAGGAAGAGAATGGGTAGGAGGCGGTTGCATTTTTTTTAATTCTTTTAAATAATAAAAATGAAATGAAAATATCTACATGGCCTAACAATATAATTGACTTTTTGCCACGTCAGCATGAACTAGTCACGTCAGAGTCAACAAACAGTTGACGATTTGGCTAATAAGTTGTTTTCAAAAAGATTTTACTATCATTTTTCTTAAAAAAAAGGTTTGGTTATTAAATTATCTTTAAAAAAAAACTTGGTTCTGTTTAGGGATGACAATTTTGCCCATACCCATGGGTATTTTACTATCCAACCCAATTGGGTTGGGTATGAAATCCAAATATATGGATATGGGTAAAGTTTGATGGGTTTGTACCCATACCAATTTACTTTGGGTTGGGTTGGGTTTATAACAAATGGATTTGGGTTTGTGCCCATGCCCAAATATAAATTACAGTTTGGTACCTAAACTTAATAGGTATGCATATTTAGTACCTAAATTTATTTTTTTTGCATATAAGTCCTCAAAATATCGATGGAAAATTACGTTTTGGTACCTAAATTTTTTTGGTCTTACATTTTGGTACCTAAAATTTTCAAGTTTTACAAATAAGTCCAATTTTTGCATGTGTAGTTAAAACACCCTCAAGTAAATGGATATCCATGTCCAACCCATACCCATTTAGATAATATCTATATCTAACCCAAACCCATATACAAACCGCAAACCCATACACACATCACCCAAACCCTACCCATAATAAATGGGTCTATTTGAGTTTGGGCAAAATTACCCATGAATGGGTAAATTGCCATCCCTAGTTCTGTTCCAGGCCTAAACCTGAGCCTCATAACCATGCCCACTAATATAAGTTCGACTAAGTGTTCCTGGGCCAAAGGTATAAACATACGAGGTCCATGTGGCCCATGTCCAAAAGTGGCCCAATGACAACTGCGTTTGAGATGCTTAAATCATCCCACTATATATTCCTCTCCAAAACCCTAGTTTCATCTGCGTTCGCCACTAGGTCTTTCACCCGCGCCAGCAAAACAAGAATAGGCGTCCGAGGTTCTGATCCAACCGGCGGCGGCTGCTGCAATGGTTTGCTCTCGGAACTATTAGCCCTGTTTCAACTTTTCTCCTCGCTTTCTGAAGTAATGACCGTGTTCCATTTTTTGGTTTTCAACAGGGTATCGATTTGAAGGCTGGAGGCAAGAGCAAGAAAACGAAGCGTACGGCTCCCAAATCCAATGATATATATCTCAAGCTTCTCGTTAAGGTACTTGAAACTCTAATTCGGTAAATTTTCTTTTTGAACTATAATATGCTTTTGACTGGGTGAGATTTGACTGAGAGTGAATTGGTTTTGCGTGAACATCATCAGCTTTACCGATTTCTGGTGAGGAGAACTGGGAGCAGCTTCAATGCCGTTGTGTTGAAGAGGTTGTTCATGAGCAAGATCAATAAGCCCCCGCTTTCCCTCTCCAGGCTCATTCGATTCATGAAGGGAAAGGTTGGGGATTTTTGTAACTCTTTTGTGTACTTGGAGATGTTATTAGGAACTTTCTGTTGTTGTGACATGGATGGGATTTTGATGGCTATTGTTTGTTCTTGGTTTGATTTAGGAGGACAAGATTGCAGTGGTTGTGGGAGCAATAACCGATGACATTAGGGTTTATGATGTTCCAGCCCTGAAGGTTACTGCTCTGAGGTTTACCGAGACCGCTAGAGCCAGAATCGAGAAGGCAGGTGGTGAATGCTTGACATTTGACCAGCTTGCTTTGAGAGCTCCTCTCGGCCAGAACACGGTGTGATACTTCTCTCGTTTAGATATTTTGTTCCATGGTCTAATTAGCATTTCTGGTCAAATACATTGCTGTTAGTCCATTGCATTTAATGAATGATTAGCTATGGATCTGGGTCTTATTGCTGGATAGTTATAGCTTTGTGGCTTAGAAATTAGGGTAAGATTGGGAGCTATTGATGGAACTATGATGAGCCTATCAGACCTGTAATGATTTGCGGTAATGATCGCAATCTTTATGAACATCTAAGGGACTGAGTTCTCAGTAGTAATCAAATCTATAAACATCTAGGCAAAGTTGTTTCAGTAATATGCAATGGATGTATACATGAATTGGCGTCATTAATGACGGAGAGCTGTAGCCCTAGAATTTAGGGTAAGATTGGGAGCTATTGATTGAACGATGATGAGCCTATCAGACCTGTAATGATTTGCGGTAATGATCGCAATCTTTATGAACATCTAAGGGACTGAGTTCTCAATAGTAATCAAATCTATGAACATCTTGGCAAACTTGTTTCAGTAATATCCAATGGATGTATACATGAATTGGCTTCATTGATAATGGAGAGCTTAGCTTTTTTTCGTGCACTTATAAACTAACTCTTCCTATCCAAATTACAAGATCTGTTGCAGGAGCCATCAAAATGTTCTGTAAATAACAAAATGTAGTCTTCCTCTTCACAGAATTGAACCAAATTGGATTGGAGATCAAAATTTTCACTGCACTTTCATCTCGTTAGTTGCTTCTCTTCTCCTGTTTGTTAAATACCGCTCAGAGTTCTTCCTGGAAATAGCTTCAATGTGAACAAAACAGCCTTCAGGATTTTATCTGTGCGTAAATGAAAGCATTTGTTGCTAATCCTTTCTGCTTGAGCCTTCTCTCGAATCAAAATGGAGTTGTGCTCCAATGTTATTGGATTACATTTTGATAACTTCTCCCTGGTATCAGCTTGTTGTATTGACTAGATTATGATTTTACAATTATACAGCTGCAACATTGATGGGATATTACAGTTTCATACTAAGACTCTCAACATTGGCAAGCTTGTTTAAGCTTGTTGTATTGATTAAATTATGATTATACAATTATATAGCTGCAACATTGATGGGATAGTACAGTTTCATACTAAGACTCCCAACATTGGCAAGCTGGTTTAAGTAATACTCTGTGGATGGATGCATGAATTGGCCTCTTGGTTGAGTAATGGCACTCTTGTGTCAAGTTCTTAGTTTGGTTTGTATTGGTTTTTGCAGGTTCTTCTCAGGGGTCCTAAGAATGCTCGTGAGGCAGTGAAGCACTTTGGCCCAGCTCCTGGTGTGCCACACAGCCACTCGAAGCCCTATGTCAGGTCGAAGGGAAGGAAGTTTGAGAAAGCTAGGGGCAGGAGAAACAGCAGGGGTTTTAGAGTCTAAGGCGTTGGTTTTCATAGTTTATGTACCAGAGATGCAGTTTGTGTTGTTTCTCCTACATTTCCTATTTCCAAAATTTTTGCTAGAAACATATTCCATCTGTCAGACAAGTTCAATCGTGTCTGCTATCTTTTGAGTGGGATTATCCATATTATGCACCTGACTTATTACTCTCAATTGGGTATACTAAGGCTGAGGCATCTCATTCTTGCAGCAAAATATAGGCACTTATTGTTAGTTTACGTAACTTTGATCAGGTTCAATGGTAATAGTGGTGGAGAAGCTGTTACAAAATATATGGCAAAATTGTATCAGCTGGTAGTTGGTAAGGTGGTCAAGTCACTGATTGACAGTGATCATGAGTCATGGTCCAACCTTGGAAGGAGAAAGTGCATTGGGATCGCATTATGTTTGTCTGATCACGAGTTCGATTCTAGTGCATCATTGGTTTGTTTTGGCTTAGATGTCCAAGATTACTCTCAACTTATGACCAACTTGAAGAGGAAGTTTGAGATGTTAGAGACCAAAAGTCATCAAAGTTCTTGTGGTACTAGTTCATATTTGGTTACCTGAAGCTCATGTTAAGACATCTATTACAGGATTCATCATCTTGGTAGGAATTCCTTTTTAGTTCTTCCAATACCCATATTTTTGGACTCAACACTTTTCTTTTCTTTTAGTGCTTTCATTAATACTTCAAGCATGAATGCTATAATATATACACTTCTTTGATCACTTCAAGACACATAGTTCTGAAGAAAATCAATGCTTATTCCTCGTCACCCATATGAATCAGGTGACTATCGGTATGTCTACATGGGCAGCAGCCACTAGGTTACATATTTTGACGTATGGACACAGAAGCCGATTACCTGTGTTATGATCATCTTGAAGATGAAGCTGGAAATGCCAGAGATCTAACATCACAGAAGAAATTATTGGTTTATATAGCTTGCACTACAAGAGCCGTCTCCTCTTGTCCTGTGCCATCTCCTCCCACACTTGATAAAAGGAAGCACCTACTACTCTAAACAACTAAAGTGACAGCCGATTCTCTTACTACATTCATACTTACCATCTTAATGACAAACAGGGACAAACTCAAACTAGGATGATGACAGAGACATATTCATGTGGAATCTTTCAAGTGGAAAGCAACACAATGAAGCTACACATAGTAAGCAAAAGGACTAGCTAGTAGAACTTTATGATGAAGTTGTGGATATGAGCATTGATCTCCCCTGGCCTTTCCTGGTTGAGAAAGTGACCAACTCCTTCCATCACGACAATCTCCTCCAGCAATGGCACATTCTTCTTGAACCCACCTCCATGGACATACTCCTTCACCCCAGGTGTAGTGTAGCACATGTCCTCATCCCCTACAACATACTTCACCGGCACCATCACCGCTGCACCGGTCCATGCCCCCGTCAGCTCCCAGTTCCTGGGAAAAGAGACCGGTCGGTCCATACTGATTAATATCGAACCTAAATGGGCGTGTACGAACTTGAGGTTTCGTTCATTGATCACCTATTGTATGAGTAACTGGGTTTTCTTTTATAGATGTTTATTACAAGGAAATTAGAGAGGTGAACTTACAAATCTAGGGCTCTGTAGTAGTTGAGACCTCCAGTGAAGCCAGTCTCACTGAACTTGTTGACAATGTAGTTGAAATCATCTTCCTTGAGCCAAGAGGGCAAAGGCCCTGAATTTTTCGGGCAGATCCCAAATGGATTCACTTTAGCTAGGTATGGAGGACCTGGTTTCCTGTCACTTAGGATCTTCTTCAGCACTTCAGCTGTCCCAGCTTTTGATATTTCAGCTTCAATAACTCCTGGTTCCTGCCCAATTCCAAAACCAAGCAACAAAAATTTTGCATTCAAGATTCAAGTACAATAATGTATGCTTGTCTTGGTCTTATTACAAACCCTATTTCTGTGTAAGAAAGTAAACCAAGACCTCTAGCAATTTTGAGTTATTCCCACAAAAAAAAAAAAAAAAAATGACATCTCCCTACTTAAAGTTTTGAACTTTTGAGTTATTCCCACAAAGTATACCTTCTCAACTCATTCCTTCTCAAAGTTCAATGGAAAACAAACATGCAAGCTTCACTAAAAAGGCAGAGAAAAGAAAAGCTTGCAAACCAAAACAATTAAGAGATCAAAGAACCTGAAATCTGCACATATAGTAGTCCTCTCCAAAGACAAGCCGCATCCCCTCAACAGGCTTCATCTTAGGGTTCCTAGGCCTGAAAGGCACACTCAAGCAAACATAGGCCTTGACCAGATCAGGCCTAAACAGGCACAAGTACCACCCAACCAAGGCTCCCCAATCATGAGCCACCAGGGCCACCTGGTCAACACCAAGCTGGTCAATGAGTGCCACCAGGTCAGCCACGATGTGGTGACACGTGTACGCCTGGCTCGAGCCAGGCGCATCGGTGTCGCCGTAGCCTCTCAGGTCAGGAGCCACGGTGTGGAAGCCAAGGGAGCTGAGGGAGTGGATTTGGTGGCGCCATGTGAACCATAGCTCGGGGAATCCGTGGAGGAACAGGATTACTGGCTTGCCTTGGCCTTCACCCTTTTCAGCTATGTGCATGTTGATGCCATTGATGTGGAGAGTTCTGTGGGTTATCTCTTCCATTTGTGTGTGGAGGGTTTTCAGAGGAGTGTGTTGGTTTTTGGTATGAATATGATGGTGGTGGGTTTTTGTTGCACAGGAAGCTGGGAGTAATATATCAAGTTGGGGAGAGTGAGGGGTCAATTACATGAACAGGTATTAAAACTTTAGAATCCTTTGACAAGTGGGTCACTAAAATTTGAAATAACTTACATAACAGTCACTTCATTTTCATTACCAATTACTACAAGTTATCGGTTAAAAATTCGTCATATATGTGTGGTTTCACCTAAATTAACGATAGATATGAAAAAAATTCTCTTATATCATCTCATAACTATTGTACCAAGAAGAAGGAAATTAGAACGAGTTTGTTGATAATATGGATTAGAACCAGTCTACTAATGAATTTAAGTTGGATGGAGTATGAACTTGAGATAGATCATTCATGTATGCTAATTAAGGTGTATGTCCAATTGTATCATAAACTCGTTTAGTTGGCTCTCCAATCTAGACAATGCGGATAAAGAAATCTATTCGATATGTTCGAAGTCATAGTGATTGTTATGTTAGTTACTTGAAACTTCATGACAAAGTGTGCTAATGAAGAAAGTGCAGTGACTAATTTGCCACATGACCCCAAAGGTGAGTGACCATCTCTACAGTTTGACCCTGAGAGGGAGTAAATAAGAGGGAAGAAGAGGGGTGTTCTCGGTTTCTTTAAATGAATGGGGCTTTGGGAATAGAGGTAAAAAAGTATTGACTATTGAGAGTTGTGAATTCAAACGAAGGGTGCTGGGGCTGCTGCTGCTGCTGCTCTCTCTGTCTCTTCTCTCAGAGGGCTTTTACTATGGGCAATTGCAGGATTGACATTATTGATTGTTTGCTTTTTCTGGTCATATGCATAAATGCTTAGTAGTAGACCACATGTTGGAAGGGCAAATGATTTAACTCTCTCTTATACTTTGTGCTCTCTTTCCGATTTTATGGTTTGGTGATGGAACTTAACATAAGCGTTGTGGTGGGTTAGGGGAAATTTTTGTTTTAAATGGTGTCAAGTGTTGTTGTACCAATTCACATGTTGTTCACAGGGAATGGTAATGGAAGGGAGGCGGAGGGTAGCTCAATGTTCATATATGTCTGCCATCGGGTATGGGTTGGTTCGGGTAATAATTCTACTCGAGCATGAATGAGGATAGATTGACTAACGAACTCTGTTCATTCAAATAAGACAAATCGAGAACACGAATATGCCTGACATTGGGTATGAGTCGGTTCGGGTAATTCTACTCGATCAGGAGTTGGGGATATGTTTACTACCGAACTCTAGTTATTCAAACAAGGCAAATAGAAATGGTAGCTCAATGTTGATATATGTTTGGCATTGGATATTGGTCGGATGGAGTAATTAACGAACTTGAATTATTCAAACAGGACAAATCGAGAACAAGGATGCATAATGCTAGAAGAAGTCTAAGTAAGATCCATATCTTGATTAACATTTTCTACGGACTAAGTCATACCCACCTAGAATACATCGAAAGTCGAAACAAACCACCCGAAATGAAACTAATCCAGGAATCAGCTTCATCTTATAAACAGAGGTGGAACTTCTCACCAGATAAGTAGGTGATTGATCAGTAGAGCAATAACACCACCTCTATAGTTGGAGCAAGGTACTTAACATAAAAAGAAGGCCAAGTACAAGTTTTCTTCCCAGGGAAAATAGATGGTTTCACACGGAACATGAGTGGGGCTGTCTTCTTCTTGAAGCGAGGACACCATGCTGATTTCTGACCCGTTCATTAATTAGAACAGAAGCTTCTTCTCAATGCACATCGATATCCCAATTAGCTTTTCTTCCACATCACATGAAATAGTGTTGAAAGTGCTAGTTGTGATGGAGGAGAACAAAAAGAAAACATAACACTCGTCAGTTGGTTGTCTAATTCCCATCCCAGGAAGTCATGTTTTATTTAATTTTACCACGGCTTCTTCAATTTTTATGTTATAAGATTTGTAATTTTGTAAATTCTTATACTAAAAGAATGAAAATTTTCATAAATGAGAGATTTTTTCGTTGTTTTTCTATTCAAGTTCAAACGAGAGAGATGAAAAAAGATACAAAATCAAATACCAATAAAGTGATGAAAAATGAATACTTACTTTTTCTTCTTCACCAATTGTTCCTTTCTTTTCTTCTGAGACTAATATAGAAGGTAGGGGTGGACATTGGGTGGGTCAGGCGTATTTTGACCATAAAATGCACTCACCCGAGTTTAAATGGATTGACAATTTTTAACCCACCACCCACCCACCCACATTTAAAGACGGAGCCAGCTTGCTGGCAGGGGGGCCATGGCTCCCCTAAGATTTTAAATAATTTATAATATCAAGTATGATACTTAATTGGCAACTAGCCCAACTGGCTGGGATGTTGGTTTCTTGTTGCATAAAATGCAGTAATTTTCTACTCCTTTTCTGATTACAAGTTCTCTTCCTTCTTACACCCTCATCGTTATTCATACTTCAATTTTAATTTTTAATTTTAACCCCATCATTATGGTAACCTTAATAACATTTGCATGTGATGCAAGAAAATGTTTGATCTAATCCATATATTATGTAACTGTTCTTCATTTTTTGAAGTTAAACCGGCGTTATTAGAAAAAAAAGTTAAATAAGTAATTGTTTTTAGTGTCTTTTAAGAATCCAATGAAATATTTTCTTCATGAATTTACAGAATGTTGTGTTAAATTGATTTCAATTTTTGATTTCATTGCATGCTCTTGTGACCGTAATTGTATTTTGATTGCAATTAAAGGTGGAATCTTATCCATGAATTGTTAATCACCTATTTTTTGTAGTTAAATCGTTGATTATTTGTGTAAATCTATAAAAAAATTCGTCATTATGTCATGGGAAAAACTGAATGGCTAAACATCGCCTGATTTTACTAATATCGCCCTAACTTAAATGTGAAAATTACTTAATTGCCCGAGAAAAAAAAATCACAATCCACAAAATTGCGTAGCTCTCATCTGTAAGAAGACACCCAATCTATCGCCGCCGTCCACCGTTGCCACCACCAATCCTGCAGCCTCTCCTGTTGTCTTCGTTCTCCTCCAATAGCACACCTCGATGTCTTCACCGTTCTCACCATCGCGGCAGAACTTTTCCACCATCCTGCCGTCTACCTTCTCCGACATCTTCTCTCGTTTCGGAAATGGCGGAATACTATTAAGCATCCAATTTCTCCATTCGTTGTCCCTTAAATTGTCAAAATGAATATATTAATTTTGATTAGGTGAGGCCGTGAGGGTGACAAAGAAAATTGAATGGTGGGTTGATGATGATATTACTGAATACGATTGTCTGCTTTTACCTTGTATTTCACTATTTTTCCTCAAAACTCTGTGGTGTCTCAGTGTCTCTCCTCCAAAGGTTTTGGTCAACTTGACTTTTAACTTGCCGCCGACCATGGTATCAACTCCTCTCCCTGCGGTGAATGGCAGATTGATAATGATAATGCCGAATATGATGTTATGTTTTCACCTGCCATTGTCGGTAGTGGGCTGGTGGAGGCGATGGCGCGGCCGGCGAGCAATTGTGGTGACTAGTAGTAGCGCCGGATAATGTCAACCGGTAATTTTTTTATAGAGTATGTTTATTAAAATAAAAAATCAACAATAAAAGATAAGGATAAATATGTATTTTTAACTGAAAAGTTAGGGCGATTATGATAAGAGTAGGGTGACGTTTAGCAACCCCCGGAAAAATGGGGGAAAAATTTGTCAGCCTCCCCTAATTTCAAATCCTGGCTCCGTCGCTGCCCACATTTAGTCTCGGGTTGGATCGGGTGATGCGAACGGGTTTGCGGGTTCACCCACATCACACTATACATAATATAAAGGAGTCAACTTGACATGATTCATTTATATTTCACAACCCCCTTGTGTAATGTCAGTATGTAAAATAAAAATTCATTTCAACATCCATTCACCCTCCAAATATGAGATTTATTTCAAGTGGCAAGATAATTGGTGGAGAGTTAACAGGCGGAAACAAGAAGATGGAATATTAAGAAAAAATTGGCGAATTATTTCTGAAATTTGATAGAAGTTCTATTATGGAGGAGTTTTCTACGGATGGAGATGACTATCGGGTGCAGAAAACTAAGAAAAAAAATTCAACGGAGGAAAAGAGAGGTGATTTGGGTACAAGAATCAGTGAAAAAAAATAAAGGGAAGAAGAGCGAAGTCGAGATTTGGAAGATTGGTTTTGAGATTCGCTTATTTGTTTGATGGATTTGGTGATGGATTTGGATCCATCATGGACTTTGTCCAAAATCCATTGTTTGCTTGATGCATTTAGGGGCAACGAATCCGTGGGTCCCACGAACTTTAAAGGTCCAACTCCGTGGACCCCACGCACTTGAAAGTTCCACCTATTTAGGTGGTAATTGATCATGGAGTTTGAAGTCCATCATTTAGGACCAAACTACCCCTCATATTTCATTTCTCTTCTCATACTAATGAGGGCAATAAAAGGTAAATTTCACTTCATACATACAAATCTAATTAACCAATTCCATCATGAAATCTATGAAACAAACAATGATATTTTTCAAGTCCATGATGAGCCCAAAACCCTCATATATCAATGGTTTTGCAAAACTCGAGTTTTATCAAAACCTTCATTTTTCAAATCCACGAAGCAAACGACCCCTAAATCTCCTGGAGTAGCCCTAATTTCCATCAGCGTCTCCTCTCTTCAGCGCCAACGGCTTTGTTCTTTTTGTTGTTGGATTGAGAGTGCCACTCGCGTACCCGTCCACAACCCACGCGCCACCCGCCGGATGCCTCCCAACACACCCCGCCACCCACCCATAGACCCACCCACATAAAAAAAAAATTCAGATCAAATGTAGGCTGATCGGGCTAAACTCGCTAGTGACCCACCCACATGCCCAACCCTAATAGAAGGGGGGGGGGGGAATGAATGATTCGATGGACCTTTTCTATTAATAGTGGATTATTTTGGTAGATTAAAATTAGTTTGAGACGATATTTGGCAACCATTTTTTCTATATATTCTTT